GAGTGCAACAACCACTACGGCGGCATGCCAGGATTGTGGGGAGAACTGGTCATGACGAAAGGACGAGGGCCCAAGATGCCGCTGACTCGGAATTCCATGTACTGCTACAGCAGGTCGGATGCCACACCGTCGCTGCTGGCCAAACAGTAGTGGCCCATGCGCCTCAGACCGATAGCAACGAGCGGATAGCGAAGGCCAAGAAGGCAAAGGAAGCCCAGCCCGATCTGCGAGCGCCCGGGAGAGACACGAGGGCCACCGGAGCCATGACGAACGACGACACCTAGCAGAGCTACACGGGCCACGAAGATTGCTGCGAGGGCCACAGGTGAACTGCAAAGGCCACCAGCAGAGTCACAGGGGCCGCCAGCGGAGCAACGAGGACCACCACGCGGAACTCCCGGGGGCACCGCGCAGAGCCACGGGGGCCCCCATGCGGAGCCGCGAGAGGCACCGGCAGCGCTGCGAAGGCCACAGAGCAGAGCTGCGTCGGCAACAGTGGCCACGAGGGCACCGCGCAGAGCTGCGGGGACCGCAAGCACAGCTCCGAGGGCCACCGGCAGGGCTACGAGGGCCACCTGCCAAGCCTCGAGGGCCACCAGCAGTGCTACCAGGGCGACGAGCAGAGCTACGGAGGCAGAGCGCAGAGCTACGAGGACCGCCCGAAGGGCTACGCGGCCCACCAGCAAAGCTACGAGGGCCACAGGCAGCGCCACGATGGCAAAAGGAAGCTCGTAGAGGGTCACAAGCAGGAGTCACACACTGGCCCCTGGCCAAACTCCGAGGACCACGAACAGAGCTGCGAGGGCCCAGTAGGCAAGTCTCGAAGGCCACCAGCAGAGCTGCGCGGGCAGCGCAGACAGAGCCACGAGGGCGACAGGCAGAGCTACGACGACCGCCAGCCGAGCCACGAGGGCCACCAGCGCAGCCACGAGGGCCACCAAGCAGAGCTGGGGCGCCCACCAGCGGAGCCAGGCGCGGCCGGCCACCTCGGAAACGAGGAAGGACGAGGTGACCGCACGTCGTCTGCGTGGCCGAAGAGCACGAGGACGAGGACGAGGACGAGGGCGGCCCAGAGTGCGAGGAGGACCACCTCATCCGTGTCAACGAGCTTACCCGCCCTCGCATGTATCAGGCGGGGACTACAACCAAGCTGCAGCCTTAAGATCACTCGCGGACGTGGACCACTACGACGAAGACAACATCCTTGACCATACCGGTCGACGCCATCGACTCCTGACAGAACAAGCTCGGGCTGAGGGGAGCCGCTATCCATTTTATTGGCGCTCGCGACTCAGACTTGGAAAACAGAAACAATGTGCCAGAGGACCAGCGCGCAGGGCCCATGAACGCGGCCGAGGAAAAAACAAAACAAACAAACAAAAAGAATCGGAATTGACGAGAAGACCGTTAGGACAGCTAGGAGGACGAGACCTAGCAGACCGTTGTACAGCGAAGCGAGCTCGTCCTGTACGCCACGCTAGAGGGTTTGCTGCTCCTCAGAAGCAGCGCAGAGGGGGGGAATTACCAAAGCATTTGCAGATAGAGCCAGCGCCAGGCTCACAGAAGCATCCCGACGACGACATGCACAAAGAACGAAGCACGAAGCACGCCCGCACATGGGCACCGCCTGGGGTGCTGAGGTGCGACGCCGGAGCGTCAGAAGAGAAGGTCCAGCCAGAACCATCCCGACGACATGGTAGTGCCAATCGATATGAGCGTTGCCGGCCACTGCGATGACGGGGCCGCCATGGTCTGCCTGCTGGGTCCAACCCTGGCCTCGCCATCGCTCGGACGACCACTCCCTGCGCATTTTTCCACTGGGAAAACGAAAAAGTACCGATACCACTACTTCCCGAACCTCTCCCAGGGTGCGGTCTGACCAGAATTTCGAGGCGAATCCAGCGGTGGCCACGAGGGCCTCCCAGGAGGCCCAAAACGAGGAAAACGAGGGAAGGGTAGCGGTATGGGTACCTTTTCCTCCTCGGAGCAATGGGGGCAGAAGTGCTCCTCGATGGTCCTCGCCGAGGAAAAATGCACAGACGTCCGAGCGACGCCGAGGGGCTACCAAGGAGCTCCCGAGCGCCTCCTGCGCCAGCACGCTGCGGAGACCCAAGGGCCAGAGCCCCCGCGCCGCGGTCGGCGGCCGCACCGCCCGTGGCGGCTGCAGGGAGCATACGGAGCCGCGTGCCTGCCCCAGGGGAGAGCGACGAGGAGATCGACGAGAGCAACGGAGGGAGTCGTCCGCCGTGTAGGGCGACGCAACCTGTGCATCTCCACTGCTCCCCGGTCAGGGCCCCGCCGAACGAACCCGGCAGCGGTGTGCACGCCACGCCCTCCTGGCTTGGCCAGCAGGGCGTGCACACAACTCCTGGGTTCGTCGCCCGAATCTGCGTCGGCGGCACCGGCCGTAAGGCCTTCACAATCATACAGAGCCGCGTGCCAGCCCCAACGGTGAGATCGACGAGAACGACTGCGAAAGCGACCTCGTGGAAGATAACCACCCGAACCCTGACATCTGAGAAGCTGGGTGCCATGGTGTGGCGAGTCCAGGAAAGGCGAAGCACACGAGAGAGACGCCTGCGACTGCCCAGCGGCATCGAAGGGTAAGAACGCCACGGGGAAGAGCCGGCCTTCGAAGATTGACTCCTGCGACTACCCGCTTCAAGACGTCCAGCAGAGGCCAGAACAAGCCCTACAATTAGGTCGGGCATGTCCTCCTACAGGCGAATTTCGAATGACAAATAATAAAAATAATCAAAACATACTTGTTGTATGATGAGAGATAAGAGCGCGAAAAATCGTCACCATACTATGTTTATAAGATTCTCGAATCTTAATCCTGTAGAGGGACATGCCCGACTTAGCCCTACCACGCGAACGGCAGCTACGAGACAGCCGCACGGAGGGAGACGTGCAGAGGGAGTTCCACAGGCTGCGGCAGCTGCTCCTACGGCACAGGGGAACGAAAGAGCTACCACTAGGTCGGGCACGTCCTCCTACAGGCGGATTGCGGAAGAAAAATAAGAAAGTGTCAAAACAAGTAATCCAAAATAGGTAAAACGAGCACGAAAATCGTCACCAGACTATCTCTCTACTATTCGCGAATACTCCTCCTGTAGAGGGACGTGCCCGACGTAAAGCTACCATGGCAGCCACGGAGACCCCAGGGCTGTGAAGGCTCCTCGGGATGCGAGGGGACATGCAGAGGCCACGGCGAGCACAGCGACCGTCATCCGCCCTCCTGCAGCTGTTCCCGGGCACGCTGCTCGGGGCCTTCGGGCCGGCCGCATCCGCGGCCGAAGCGAATGCAGACACTACGTGGCACCATAGGTCGTCTTCTGATGAGTCGTACGGACGACCTGTCGCCAATGAGCGATCTTACAAAGCGGCATCACGTGTGCCATCTCGACTCGACGGTAGGAGCAGGGTTTCGCACCGCCACCCGCTTCCGCTGCCAGGCTCTTTGGAAAGGCCATCGGAAAGGACCGTAAAGGTCGACGGGTCGCGGCGGTCGCCCGTAGGATCACCCCTATGGCACCACAGTGGATCGAAGCAACGACTCGGTGACGAGTGGAAACATAGAAAAAGTCATCTCTCTGCGTGGTTGCTGGACGGGCTCCGCGGGTGCCAAACACTGCGGCGCTTAGGCCGTTGCGGGAAAAACTTTGCGATTGTCGCTCTGGGGGGGTTTGACACTGGGGGCGTTGGGGCACCACGTTTCCCACCCAACGCCGCTGGGGCTGCCACTGATCTGTTTGCCAACGCTGCCACTTAAAGCGGTACACTTGCACGCGGCACCGAATACGTCTACACATGTCGAGTAGCCAACTTACTTTGTGGGACCACTCCAGAGTTAGGGTGTTCCAACCAGCGTGCCACGGCGCGCACGGCTGCACGTACTGAACGGTGAGACTGGCCAGCCTAAAGGCATATGGTTGCCAACCTTCGGGCTGCGGTGGTACCTGAAGCAATGTGGCTCCTCTGCCTCCTCCTTGTGCAAGCACTATTTGGTGGCGTGCCTTCAGGGTCCTGGGGGGGGAAATCCTTTAGGCCCCTCCCCCGGGGTGCTGGGCAGCTGGGCTTCGCGACTGGGCCCAAGCAAGCTGCCAGCACACATATCCCACTCTACCCTACACTTCCCTCTCCTTCCTGAGAAAATGGCGCCGCGGCATCCTTCCCTTCCCCCTTTCCCCCAGAAAGAAACTGCGCGAGCGTGTGCGGTGAGAGCCAGGCGACGTGTCTCAGCATCGTTGGGCTACCCAGCGGTGGGCTGAGCTACAGGCATGAGGTCATTGGGTTCGCCGTTCGAGGGCGATCGTCGGTCAGGCGGAGGAGGGGAAGAGAGGAAATGGGAGGAGCGAGGAGCAAAGAGGGATACGAGGCGCAGAGGGGCAAAAGCAGGAGGGAGGAGGTGAAGGATGATGAACAGCAGCAGCACAAGCGAGGGAAGGAGGAAGAGGAGAAGGATGAGGAGGAGAGAGGGGTATGAGGAAGGAAGGGTCAATCAGCGCCAGCGGGAGGAAGAGTCACGATCGATGATGCTACAGTGAAGCTGCACGCACGCTAGATACACGCAGACCGCCACCCATTAGCATGTCCAGGGCATTTTCAACTGCTGAGCGCTGCAAAAAAAGCAGGGCAGAAGAAGGCGATCACGGCCAAGTCCGAGCACTAAGGTGGCGAATATTCCGGCGATGGGAATCGAACAATGGTTTGCCTGGGTGGAGGAGCTCCATTACATACTCCTTACTTTATTCCTCCTGCTCCTCCTCCTCCTCATCAGCATCATCATCCTCCTCCTCCTCGTCCTCCCCCTCCACTTCGTCCTCCTCCTCCTCCTCTTCCTCCTGCTGCTACTGTTACTCCTCCTCATCATCCGCCTCTTCCTCCTGATGCTCCTCATCCGCCTCCTCCTTTTTCTCATACTCCCCCTCCTCCTCCTCCTCCCCCTCCTCCTCCTCCTCCTCTTCCTCCTCCTCCTCCTTTGCAGGCGAACGCACCCGTGCAGGACACGGTAGTTGTCGATGAGCACCATATCTCCCTTTTTCATCTCCAGCAGGTGGATGTTGCGCTCGCACACTTCGTTGATGTGGTCGCAATCCTCAGCACGGGCTGACTGCGACAATTCATCCATGATGTAAGAGGAGCAGTCTTTAGCTGCGCTCATACTATCAAGCACTGTACATACAGAACGATCCGACTGACCAAGCACCGTCGGCCCGCCAGAGTCCGGAGCGCCCTGGGAGGGCCAAAGACGGCCGCCAGAGAGGGCCCAAGAAGACCACGGGAGGTGCCGAAGAGAACCACAGGACGGCGAAGGCGGGCAAAGACGGCCCAAGATGGGCGCAAGGCGGTCCAACAGGCTCCCTCGACGGCCCCACAGGGGCCGAAGGGGACCCCCAAGTAAGAGGTCCTGAAAAAGTAGAGACAACCATGTCCATCATTTCTGTTTACGAACTGGGCACAGTGGCCTTCTCTGTCTTCAGAGCCTCCGAAATGACCTAGGAGGCCCCTAAGCTCTCCTCAATATGACCCAACAGGTGCCACAAAGGGCCCCACAGGGGCCAGGAGGAGCCCAAGACGGCGCAAGACACCGAAGACAGCCCAGAAGAGCGTCGCAGTACGACGAATCTAGCGCTGCGAGCGGACCTGTCCTGGGTGTCTTTTAGAGCCTTTGTGAGACATGTGAGGGGCCTGTTGGGTCGTATTGGGGCCCTCTTGGGTCGTCTCTGGCACCTCTGGACCGTCTTGGGGGTCTCTTGAGGTGGTCTGGAGGCCCTGCTGGGCCGTGTTGGGCCTCTCGTCAACAGTCTGGAGCGACTCTGGGGGCCCTCTTGGGGAGTTTTTGTTTTGTTTCTTGGTACCTCAGCTCCTGTCAGATCAACAGCACGCCAAGTGCGCAACGGATGACCTACCTCCTCATGCCTCGTCAGAAGCCTCGCAGAACCTCGTGCTCGCATTTCGGACATATCGACAAGGTGAAATCCGCCGACCCCAGAGGCGTGTGCGGAAAAGTGTGTGATCGATCCCCACCTCACGAGCCGATACCCTCAACCCTTGGGATCTGTGTTCTTGACCCCCCCTCCTTGCCCTGTTGCACTACATAGATTCTGCACTATACGAATTGCACAAGATAGATTGCACCGCATGGATTGCACCACATTGATTGCACCACATGTATTGCACAAGATAGATTGCACATCACATAGTTCACAGCATAAAAGCACTACAAACATTGTACCGCATTGATTGCTCCTCGTATACTGCTCCACGCAAACTGCACAACATAGGTTGCACAAGATAGATTGCCTGACATAGATTACACAATTCATAATGCACCACTTAGATTGCACCGCACATATTGCTCGACATAAACTGGTCCACCAGTCCGCGCTGGCTAACAGATGTACGTATACACATACATACACACACAGGTGCACTCTCAGAAGAGAAAGGAACGCGCATGCCGCCCCCGAACTGCTCCTTGCCCGAACCCCCTTCCGTCGGACGAAGGCTGGCCGCACCAGCAGCGGCCCTCTTCGATCTCCGCCCGCCCTCCCCCGCTCGGGACCCTGAGATCCGACACCTCGAAAAAGAAATGAAACAGCGTGAAAATCACGACTGGAGCCCCGAACCCAATCCTTTTGCACCAGTCTTCGAGCCCCGGATCGATCTGTGAGGGCCCCGGGGCCCGAGTCTGGGGGGAAACGCCCGGTTCGAAAAAGTCGAAACGCCAGGCGCCATCGTCGTCGTCGTCATCGCCGTCGTCGTCGTCGTCGCCGTCGTCGTCGTCGTCGTCGTCGTCGTCGTCGTCGTCGTCCTCTTCCTCCTCCTTTTCCTCCCTCTCCGATGCGCAGGCCGTCGTGGCCTGCACACCCGTGCCCCAAGAGAGCCGCGTCCTCGGGGGGGATCCTGCTGAGGTCGCCGAAGAAGACGTCGGTCATGCCGACCTCCAAGGGGCGAGGTGGGCTGGCCCGCCCGCTCCAGCGCCAGGGGGGGGGCTCCTGGTCGCTGCGAGCAGGGACAAGTTCTACAGTCAACCCGCGGAATGAGAACGCACGATACCAGTCTGACCTGGGCCAAGAGAACATCCTTCAAGAACGTGAGACCGTCCATCGGCCAAAACAAACACAACATCCGAGGAGACCCTCCCCAGGATGCACAAGAGCATCCAACAAACACGAAGAACACGAGGGCACCCTCCCCGAGCCGACCTCGATCATGTATACATATATATATATATATACATATATATATATATATATATATATCCCACTGCGGGGACAAGTTCTACAGTCAACCCGTATAATAAGGATGCACGATAAGGATGCAAGGGGCTTGGAAGGACATGCCGCCACTTTGCGAACGGGGCGCGGCCAGCGAAAACGGCCAAGGATGGGCCGAAGGAGAAGGATGCAAGGCCAACCTTGAAGAGTTGCTCATCCTTGCTATGCGGGCTGACTGTACACACTGACGCGTGGAGGCCGGCCAGATTTCCCTTTTCGGTCGGAAGCGGAGGAAGACGAGGACAAGGAGGGAAACGAAAAGAGGAACGAGAAGGAGGAGGAGGAGGAGGCGGAGGAGGAGAAGAGGGAGGTGGAGGAGAGGAGAAAAGGAAGAGAGACGGAGGAGGAGGAGGAGGCGGTGAAGGAACAGGAGTTCGGAGGGAGGGAGAGAAGGAGCAGGAGGTGTGCGACGACGAGGAGAGAAGAGAAGAGGGAGGAGGAGAAGAACCAGGAGAACAAGGAGAAGAAGGACGACGACGACGTGCGAAAGACCTCTGGCACAGTGCAGGGGCGGCGGTCGCGGAGGTAGCGGCTGTGGTTGTGCAAGTTGCAGAACCAGACTGGCTGGCCCGTCTCCGGATGCCTTTTCAGGGGACGCAGAGACACCAACGCCGACGACGCCGCCCATTCCTCCTCCTCCTCCTCCACCTGATCCTGCTTGAAAGGTTGGCAGTGGTTGCGGCGATTGCGATTGTAATCATTGAACCAGCTATGCCTTCCTGAAGGGCGGCGGCATGCTGTGTCGCTCGGGCGAACGAGGTCGACGTGCGATTCCTTGCCATGCAGCGGTGGTCCGCCGTACTGCCGTGCCGTGGTGCCGTACTGTCACGCATTCCCGTGGTGCCGTGCCGTCGTGCGCAGGTCGGCTCTGTGCTGGCCTGGCGGTTTCGCCTGGCTGGGGCAGATAGAGATGCCAGCCGGGAACCCTGGCCAGGATGGTGCCCGAGCTTCGCTTGGCGGCCGGCGAGGTCGGTGGTCACTGGGCCCCGCCCAAAGCCAGCAACAGCACAGGGCTGGGTTACACCTGGGCCCTCTGGTCAGTGGGCTTCGCCCAAACCAGCGTCGTCACGGGCGACAGGGCCAGTCTTCGACTGGGCCCTCTGGTGACTGGGCTCCGCCCAATCCAGCAACAGCACAGGACCGGGTTGCGCCTGGGCCTTCTGGTCACTGGGCCCCGCCGAAACCAGCAACAGTACAGGGCTGGGCTACACCTGGGCCTTCTGGCCAGTGGGCTATGCACAAACCAACGTCGTCGCCAGGTCTTCGACTGGGACATCTCTTCTCTGAGCTTCGTTCCGACCAGCAGGAAGAGTGCTGGGAAACACTTGGGCCCACTGGTCGCTCGGGTTCGCCCAGACCAACGTCGTCGTGAACGCAACGATGGGGCCGGTTTTCCACATGGCCTCGCACGCTGGGGGCCCCGATTCTGAGCGGCGAGCAAGTTGCGCTTGTTGGCGGTGCGAGGCGATGTCGGCGGAGCGGCGTCGCGCTCTTCCAGCAGCTCGCACACCTCGTGCCGCAGTGGGGGTGAGCTCGGAGGGCAGGCTGTGCGTTCTGCTCGTCGGCATGAGGCGCCAGAGCGGCGCCCCGCGAAGATGACCGCGACCACAGGACTGAGGAGAACGAGGAGAATATCCCGTACCCCATCCCCACTTCACTCAACATGAATGGCACACACACACACACACAAGGAACCCGAATCGGGGTCGCGCCGGGTTCACTCCAGTTGTCCCCCGCCACTCCGAGCACCGAGGACTCCCCGAGAGTCCGAAGGATGCAGGCCAAAATCGCGCGGCCCCCCTTCCAAAAAAAGTGATTCGCACCGGCGTGGCAAGAAAACCAAGGCCATTCGCGACTGCGGTGCGAGTTACGCAACCGCTCGCCGATACACACTTCCCTCCCCAACCCCTTTAAGGTGCACCAAGGGCATCGCTTTGACAGTCGGGGAGTTCACTTGTTACTTGGACTTACAATGTTTTTCTCTGGCGCCGAAATCTCGGATATTTCCCAAACGGCCCCGCAGGGCTCGTTCGGCGGGGCGTCCGTGGAGGAAAAGACCACATGGATCGGGTTCGAGTGCTCGGTTGATGAGAGCCACAAGGAGAACCAACCGATCAACTTCTACTCTGCAGTGGCCAGGGTCATGGCGGGCATTTTGGGGAGCACGCACTCGCGCGATTTCGCTGACCTACACATACGGACTTTGATCCTCGATTTGACCTAGCCCAACACCAACTCGCTCCAATCAAACCAAGACGGGCAGTGGAAAGATATCCAAACTTGACCCGCGCAGGCGACGTTGGCAGGCCCCGACAGGGATCGGTGCGGCCAGCAGCAGCTCGACGGACGAATTCGCGAAGGCGCTCGCTTCGCCCATGTCCGTTCATTAAGCGGCAGCTAACGCAGACAAAATGGGGGTACAGCATTTGTCGCTTTGAATTGGAAGAAAGCTTTCGACTCGTTGAACGTCGAGTCGATGCTGGAAGCATTGGAAAAAGTTGGAGCTCCTCGGCGCGTCCTTACATTTATTGGCCACATTTACGAGGGCAGAAAATTCAGCATGGCGGATGGACGACACGGGTCATCGGAACGACAACAATCATCCAGGATCTCACAAAAGGTTGCCAGCTCTCGCCAGTCGTATTCATCATGGTACTGACGATGGTAATTCGAAGTGCCACACACCACGGAGACGCAGAAGTACGGCATGCTTTGGAAGACGGGTCTTTGGGTATATTGTTGTACACGGATGACACCTTCAATCATGACACTCTACAAGAGTCTGCTGGGGGCAATTTCTAAATCAGGTGCACGAGTTGATATGGAATTACATTGGGATAAGTTTCAACTCATGGGAATTCGTTGCGACATGTCTCTCTTGACGCCCTCCGGCGTGCAAATCCTGGCAAAAGATTCAATGGTCTACCTCGGGGACACGCTTTCACACTCTGGTCAGTTGTGCGGAGAGTTGGGAAAAAGATTAGGAGCTGCGTGGGGCGAGTTCTGCAGACACAGCCGCGCCTGAAAAACACCCGGCAATCAGCACGACTAGAAAGCTTTAGGTATTTCAGGCGCTGGTGACGAGTAAGGTCATGTACTCGCTAGACTCTGCGTGGCTCAACAAAGCTGAACGCAGAAGATCGGACGGCTTCCAAGGTGCCGACGCCGAATCCTGCACATTCCCACTCGTGCATTTCCAGAGTCTCAAACGAACAAGTGCTGTTACAAACAGGCCAACAGCCCTATACGGCGCAACTTCTGAGGTATTAATTGTTGTGGTATGGCAGAGTATGTAGAGCGAACGATTCCGATTTTCTGCATCGCCTCACCCTCCAACCAGGAAGCGCGCAGCCAGCCACAGACGCATGCGTCCGAGCACGAGGCCGGCCCAGGAATGAGTGGACGAAGTATTTGTACAAAGTTGTCGCTCCGCACTATTCACCAGAACAAACAATAATGCAGTGCGTCTGTGAGCAAGCAGCCTGGCGCAGATTCGTGATTGATGTTGCGTCTCTCCCTCCCCCTCCTCCTTCGCCTCCTCCCCCCTCGTCCTCAAGCAACGCGCGGTGTTAATGAAGAGACAGACAGCCGACAAGCGGCCGCTCGCGCAAAGCGGAGAATCTTGGCTGGCATCGTTTTCCTTTTGCCCACGCGCTCCAGCGTATGGCATTCTGTCTGTCTAAACAAAGAAGAAGAAGAAGAAGAAGAACAAAAAGAAGGCACTCTGCTTCGCGTTAAAAGACTGGATCATCGAGGAGGGCCTCGGGCGCGTTAAAAGACTGGACCCTTCTGAAGAGTCGAAGAGTCGCTGCTCCGCCTGGAGGCTGCGTTGCGGCCTGCCCGTGACCATGGCCGAATGCACGCGGAATCAACACGGGGAGGACGTAGCGATGAATTTCCAGCCGTTCTGGTCGCGGACCACGAAGCTGGAAGTTCACGTCGGCGACGGATCACTGGAAGGTAAAATGAAGGCGGCTTTGGACACCAAGAAGACCCGTTTTGCGGAAGAAAAAACTTGCTTCAAAGGGTCCACCACGTTCATGCCACGCCCAGGACTGGAGCTGAAAATGACGCTCACGAAGGTCACGATGGCGTCGCAGCTCTTGACGCATACGCTCGCGCTCGCCAGGATCACGGAGGAGCACTGCGGGGTCACAAGCACCCACCACTATAACCTCCTGCTGCGCCGCAAATTGGCGAGGGCGTTGGAGCAAGGTACATACGCCCAGGTTCCCGACCTCCTCTGTGACATCGACAGGGGCGCGATGTCGGACGCCAAGACAAAGGCTGGCCGGTGCGCCGAGAAGGCGACCGCGGCGGCTCCCAAGGGCGCGGCGGAGGCTGGCCAGCGCGGCGGCGGAGCTTGGAATGCGGAGGCTGGTGCGCACGAAGCGGGGGCGACGCGAGCGGGGAAGGCGCCTGCCGGCAGTCCTGGCGGTGCCCGTCGTCTGCGCAACGGCGCTCGCTGTCGGTTCTGGGCAGGACCCGGCGGCGGGCGTCGCCCTGGTCGGCGTCGCGTTCAGGTTGGGCGCGCGTCGGAGGACCGGCAGGCTTCGTCGCGCGCCCCCCGGTCGAGGATCCCACGCCCCCGCGGCAGAGGCAGCGGCAAGGACAAGGGCAAGCGCGACGACGGTTGGGGCGGCCAGTCGGCGGCGCCGTGGAAGGGCAAGAGGTGAGAGGCCGAATCCGACAGCTCGAACAGCGGAGCATCGGCCGAGCAACCGCGAGAGGGCGCCGAAGAACCCTCGCCGTTCAAGCTAACTGACGTTTTTGAGCAGCTCATGGAGAGCGTCGACGAACTTCTCGCTCGTCCAGAACGCCTGGACAGGATGACGCCTTGGATGCACCTTAACTGGGAGCTGACTTTGCCCAGGTGCGATGGCAGTCTACATCTGCCAACGCACTTGGCCCAGTTTGAAAAGCCACCCCATGCAACCCCGAGGAGGTTCGGAAGACATCAGCATCACCTTCATCACCATCATCATCACCACCACCAGCATCAGAATAATAGTCCCCCTTATCATCCTCATCCGCCTTCGCCTACTTCAGCATCCTCTTAACCAGCTTTTTCCTCTACCCGACTTGCCCCTACTTCCTCTCTTCACAATTCCTCCATCACCTCCACATCGTCGTCCTCATCCTCATCCACATCCACGTCATCCATCCCTGTTGATACGTACATCACCTCCCCGCCCGTCCCTTATCCTCATGCCCTCTCTCCTCCTCCGCCTCCACACCCTCCTCCTACTCCTCCTCCTCCTCCTCCTCCTCCTCCCACACCTCCTCATCCTCCTCCTCCTCCTCCTCCTCCTCCTCCTCCTCCTCCTCCTCCTCCTCCTCCTCCTCCTCCTCCTCCTCCTCCTCCTCCTCCTCATCCTCCGCATCGTCATTATCACCGCAATTTCCCGTATCCTCATACTCTGTCTTCCCTCCTGCGCCTCCTCAACCTCGTACTCCTCCTTCGCATCCGGTTGGTCCTCGTCCTGCTCATCCTCGTCCTCATCCTCCAATGGAACTGGCCTGTTAATCGGAGACTGCGCATGCTCCACAGCGGACATGCGGTACGGGTTGGTGCCTGCCGGGGAAAAAAAGCGGATGGGGGGAGGAGGAGAAGTAGGAGGTAGAAGGTAAGGCGCTTGGGGACAATGTCTGAGTGCCTCTGAGACACTTAAGAGCACCTGCGGAAGAAATAATTGCGCAGGGTCTCGCAAGCCGATGCCGTGCCTTGGACGCCCATGCGGAATCCACCTTGAACCGCACATGGGGGCCCGTCCAGCGGGTGGGGGGGGGCCATGGTTGTGAAGCGGGGACGCCGAAACCGACGACTATTCCGACGACGATGCGGGGGGCAGGAGGGCACGCCGCGCAGGCAGCATGCCGAGTGCGCGCCCGCGCGCTGGGGGCAGCACAGATCCGCAGTCTCGACACGAGGCGAGACGAAGCGAAGCAGCGAGGAGCGAGAAGACAGGCAGGTCTGCACTGGATCGGACCGCGAAATCGGATCGGATCGAGAGCGGATCGAACCGCCAGCGAATCGTCCCGAATCGGATCGGCATCGAATCGCCGCGCCCCGCTTCCGGCTGGCCCTGGCCGATGCCGTTGACTGGAGCCGGATCGCATCGAATTGGAATCGCGGCCCCAGCCAGCGAATCGAATCGAATCGGATCGGATCGTAGGGGGCCCTGACAGGGCAGGAGGCGGCTCGGGGGGAGAGGCTGAGGACCAGGGGCAGGCAAAGAAGCAGACGGGACCAGGCAGGCGGACTGGCACGAGCCAGGAGTGGCGACGCGTGGTACAGGACTTCTGCTTCCGCTGCCTTCGAGCCCTGGGTCATAGATGACAGCCGAGAGACGCGCGTGGAGAAAAATGTCCGCCTGCACGGCTGGGTGGCTCGCCTTACGCGCAAGCGTCACTGCAAGGATCAGGGAGAGAATGATCCCGACGACTCTTTTCGGCTGAGCGAACAACCTCCATTTTAAAAGACTCACTTGGCATCCGGAGAGAGCACGCGTGTCAGACCCTTTGCCTCGTAGAAAAAAATGTTGGCGTGGCACCGTGGAGCACAACGCAAACTGGGGCACGTCTGATGTTGTGTTTTGTTCACTGCTCATGTACCACATTGATCGCAAAAGAATACGTGCAACTGATCCACCGACGGGTATTATGTTCCTAGTGGTTAGCAACGCTGTGAAACTGTTGGTGATCATTGACACGCCCGGTTGGTCTGAACAGTATCCACCTTATTGTGTTTCGTATGATCTGGATGTCCGTCTTACCCTCCACTTCCCACCAAATGCTCCACATTTTCTGGGGAATCGACGATTATCTGTGTGTCTCTGTGCTCACTTCTCCCTCCTGATAGAGAACAAGACGGAGGAGGGTTGGAGGGGGCTGGGGGGTCTGCAGGAGCGCGGCAAAGACCAGTCGGGAGGGAGGAGGGAAGCAAACTCGGCGCAGCGTGCCGACCTGGGGACAGCGGCCGAGAGCCGAGAGGGGGCACTCGGAGCCCGTCCGTGCACGACAGTGCCCGCTCCCCTTCTGACGGCTTGAGGCAGCGATGCCACCTCAGGCCTTCAACCAGCTGGATTTCTGTACTTATGCTTCGAGTTATAGGCTAGGGAGCCGGGAAGCACAGCGCTCAGTATCGAGATGTCTGAGATTGGTCTGTGACCCCAGAGCTACAACTGAGCACTCTGCACTATTTTGTGAGGGTAATATATGTTTTCTGTGCTCAAATCGAGCTGTAGGCTAGATACGAAGCTCATATATATATATATATACACCAATCGAAAGGCCATGAGTTCTTTGGCAACTCATGGGGGCCTCCTATACCATCGTGTTGGCTCTTGCGAATCGACGCTGGTCGACGCTACATCAACGCTAATCGACGCTAAATCGACGCTCATCGACGCGAACCGACGCTGAATCGGCGCTATCTCATCGACTCCCAGACGCTAATCGACGCTGGAATTGAGAGGGTATACCACCAGGCTCCCGAACAAGAGGACGAACTGGGTCCCATGATTGCTACCGAGCAAGAGGACGAACTGGGTCCCGCAAGGGCCCGAGAGGGCCCCGCGAGGGCTCCCAAGAGGCCCGAGTACGGCACTGGGAGGGCCCGACGGGGCTCCCCACGGGAGCAGGACTGCGGCACTCCCTCGAAAGAGGTCACCGGCGACGACGACGACGACGACGACGACGACGACGACGACGACCACGACGACGACGACGACGACGGCGACGACGACGACGACGACGACGACGGCGACGACGACGGCAGTGACGACGACGGCGACGACGACGACGGCAGTGACGACGACGACGACGACGACGACGGCAGTGACGACGACGGCGACGACGACGACGGCAGTGACGACGACGACGACGACGACGACGACGACGACGACGACGACGACGGCGACGACGACGGCAGTGACGACGACGGCGACGACGACGACGACGACGACGACGACGGCGACGACGACGGCAGTGACGACGACGGCGACGACGACGACGACGACGACGACGACGACGACGACGACGGACGCGACGACGGCGACGACGACGACGCAGTGACGACGACGACGACGACGCGACGACGACGACGACGGCGACGACGACGGCGACGGCGACGGCGACGGCGACGGCGACGGCGACGGCGACGACGACGGACGACGACGACGGCGACGGCGACGGCGACGGCGACGGCGACGGCGACGGCGACGGCGACGGCGACGGCGACGGCGACGGCGGCGATGACGACGACGACGGCCGCCTCTGAAGGCGTTTGGAAGCCATCCGATGTCTGTCAACACCAGACCATGCCTATTGCCATCCAGTCGGGCCGCCGCGAAACTCTGAACCACAGCAACGCCGCGGGCGAGGGCAGAAACCATTACACGCCGGTCGGAAGAAGTAGGAGAAACAGAAAGTAGGAGGGTGCATCAAGAAGAGTAGCAAAATACAACCAAAACAGATCGACTCTTGAAGTAGGAAGGCACTTGAAGTAGATCGAGATCCGGGAATTCATCAATACCTACTCTCAACGACCAGCGTGTATGAGACAGTGACCAAGAATGCAACACGGAAGCTCTTGCCCTCCCATCCCAGGGCCCGACGGGGCTCCCCACGGGAGCAGGACTCCGGCACTCCCTCGAAAGAGGTCACCGGCGACGACGACGACGACGACGACGACGACGACGACGGCGACGACGACGGCAGTGACGACGACGGCGACGACGACGACGACGACGACGACGGCGACGACGACGGCAGTGACGACGACGGCGACGACGACGACGGCAGTGACGACGACGACGACGACGACGACGGCAGTGACGACGACGGCGACGACGACGACGGCAGTGACGACGACGACGACCGACTACGGCAGGACGACGACGACGACGACGACGACGACGAACGACGACGACCGCGACGACGACCGACGACGACGGCCGACGGCGACGGCCGACGGCGACGGCGACGGCGACGGCGGCGGCGACGGCGACGGCGACGGCGACGACGACGACGACGACGACGGCGACGGCGACGGCGACGGCGACGGCGACGGCGACGGCGACGGCGACGGCGACGGCGACGGCGACGGCGGCGATGACGACGACGACGGCCGCCTCTGAAGGCGTTTGGAAGCCATCCGATGTCTGTCAACACCAGACCATGCCTATTGCCATCCAGTCGGGCCGCCGCGAAACTCTGAACCACAGCAACGCCGCGGGCGAGGGCAGAAACCATTACACGCCGGTCGGAAGAAGTAGGAGAAACAGAAAGTAGGAGGGTGCATCAAGAAGAGTAGCAAAATACAACCAAAACAGATCGACTCTTGAAGTAGGAAGGCACTTGAAGTAGATCGAGATCCGGGAATTCATCAATACCTACTCTCAACGACCAGCGTGTATGAGACAGTGACCAAGAATGCAACACGGAAGCTCTTGCCCTCCCTCCAGGGCCCGAACGGGGCTCCCCACGGGATCAGGACACCGGCACTCCTCGAAGAGGGTCACCGGCGACGACGACGACGATGAGCGACGACGACGACGACGACGACGGCGACGACGCGCGCATGACGACGACGGCGACGACGACCGACGACGACGACGACGGGCGACGACGACGGGCAGTGCGACGACCGCGACGACGACCCGGCAGTGACGACGAGACGACGACGAGACGGCATGACGACGACGGCGACGACGACGACGGCAGTGACGACGACGACGACGACGACGACGACGACCGACGGACGACGGACGACGAGCGAGTGACCCCGACGACGACGACGACGACGACGACGACGGCGACGACGACGACGACGACGACGGCGACGGCGACGGCGACGGCGACGGCGACGGCGACGGCGACGGCGACGGCGACGGCGACGGCGACGGCGGCGATGACGACGACGACGGCCGCCTCTGAAGGCGTTTGGAAGCCATCCGATGTCTGTCAACACCAGACCATGCCTATTGCCATCCAGTCGGGCCGCCGCGAAACTCTGAACCACAGCAACGCCGCGGGCGAGGGCAGAAACCATTACACGCCGGTCGGAAGAAGTAGGAGAAACAGAAAGTAGGAGGGTGCATCAAGAAGAGTAGCAAAATACAACCAAAACAGATCGACTCTTGAAGTAGGAAGGCACTTGAAGTAGATCGAGATCCGGGAATTCATCAATACCTACTCTCAACGACCAGCGTGTATGAGACAGTGACCAAGAATGCAACACGGAAGCTCTTGCCCTCCCATCCCAGGGCCCGACGGGGCTCCCCACGGGAGCAGGACTCCGGCACTCCCTCGAAAGAGGTCACCGGCGACGACGACGACGACGACGACGACGACGACGACGGCGACGACGACGGCAGTGACGACGACGGCGACGACGACGACGACGACGACGACGGCGACGACGACGGCAGTGACGACGACGGCGACGACGACGACGGCAGTGACGACGACGACGACGACGACGAACGACAGTGACGACGACGGCGACGACGACGACGGCAGTGACGACGCGACGACGACGACGACGACGACGACGACGGCGACGCGACGGCGACGGGCGACGCGGCGGCGCGGCGCGACGGCGACGGCGACGACGACGACGACGACGACGGCGACGGCGACGGCGACGGCGACGGCGACGGCGACGGCGACGGCGACGGCGACGGCGACGGCGACGGCGGCGATGACGACGACGACGGCCGCCTCTGAAGGCGTTTGGAAGCCATCCGATGTCTGTCAACACCAGACCATGCCTATTGCCATCCAGTCGGGCCGCCGCGAAACTCTGAACCACAGCAACGCCGCGGGCGAGGGCAGAAACCATTACACGCCGGTCGGAAGAAGTAGGAGAAACAGAAAGTAGGAGGGTGCATCAAGAAGAGTAGCAAAATACAACCAAAACAGATCGACTCTTGAAGTAGGAAGGCACTTGAAGTAGATCGAGATCCGGGAATTCATCAATACCTACTCTCAACGACCAGCGTGTATGAGACAGTGACCAAGAATGCAACACGGAAGCTCTTGCCCTCCCATCCCAGCGCCGTCCACGCCGTACAGCATCTCAAGATCCATCTGGAACTTCGGCTCCACGACGTCAAAGATGAGACCCCGGAGGCCCTCCTGAGGGCTCCAGGCAGGCGGGCCGCCGGGGGGGCATGCCAGGACTCGGGGATCGCAGGGAGCGCCCCGAGGACTCCGACGTTAGCACCTGCAGGCACACGGCCAGAATGCACACGGACCTTGCCAGCGCTGCAGAGCGATCATCTCTCTCAGCGCTTCCCCAAGAGACAGAACATCGACAAAATGTTGCACCACCTGGCGCTGACAATCAATCGCGTCGCTGTTATATCAATCGTTTGTTTCCCCCCCCCTCCCCCCCGATCTTAATATTGGGTTCGGTCCGGGCTGGTCGAAACAGCTCGGTGGTGCAACATTTTGTCGGGAGCCCCCGGGCGGAACAGGGGCTCTTCGCCGTGCACCCAATATTAAGATCGGGGGGAAGGGGGGGGGCAAGAGCAATGCAGTACAGGTGCCAATGCACAGCAAAACTTGTGCAACATTTTGTCGATGTACGGGAGAATGACAAAAACCCGATCCTGCAAAAACACCCGTGAGCAGTACACCTATTCAATCTGTGGGAAGTCGCATATCGAAGCCTTCAGGAAAAGTTCAACCAGAAAGAAAGCGGGGGGATGAGGCTCAGCGTGAATGGGTGAAGTAGGTTCGGAGGAGGCGCGCTTTCTTCTGCCGTACCGACGCCGCAACTACTAATCTATGTTTGGGACATGTCTTCAGCCGTAACATATGTACGCAACGGAGCTGCATCGTGGATGAAGCATTGCACTTGGCCCACTGCGCACCAGAAGATTGCAGAAACTAGTTTGTAGCGCCTGCTGAACCAAACACAGAACGTGGACGCAAGCTCTGGGTCATTCTCCTCTGTTCGGAATTTCCGTTTGGACGTTTGGAATTCGCGTTGTCAAGAACAAGTCATGGTGCAATATGCGTATCGTAAAACGACCCTGGATTTCACGGGGTAGCATTGCATTGCGTCGCATAGTGCTCGCTGTCTAGACGCGTTGGCATGCCCAGACAGGAAGCCCAATGCGACGCAAGGCCAGGGCAAACTGCGCAGAAGAGAATACGATCCGCGCACCCGCTTTTGTTTTGGACAGGCGCGGGCACGGCGTCGCGCCGAAGGTCGCTTGGAAGAGCCATCCGCACAAACACACACACACACACACAGACTTGTGGGACGTGGCGGCCTGAGGCGTAGAAGGTCGGAAAGCGGCGAAGCGCGCGCGGCCAGCCCACACAGAAACTGGGAGCAAGGACACACCACAGGGGATCCACCGTGCCATGCGCACACCCCGGCGCGGGCTGCGGGGGGGAGAGACGACGGAAGCGGGGCGGTAAGGGCCAGCACATGCACCGACAGCACGAGAGGAGCAAGGCGAGGCGCAGGGACGGCAGGCATGACCAGAAGGCGCGAGCGCCAAGACAGGGCAGGACACGCACGGCAGGGGGCGGCGTATAGGAGATGGAGCAGCAGCCAGAGGGGGAGAGCGGGAAGCAGGTGACCGCCGATGCAGGATGCGGCGAGGCGACCCTGGGCATAAGCCCGAGGACTGCCGGCCTCGGGGACACGGGAGCAGCCTCGCGGCCGCCGCAGGGGTGCGAGGGCAGGGCAGGGCTGCCGCGCGGAAGCGCGGGGGCCCAAAAGCAGTGAAACGAAGGGAGTGAGGGTGCCCCGAGGGAAGCTCCCAAGGGGGGAGAGGCACGTCCGCACCGTCAGCCAGCCCTGGCATCGCCACCCTGCCCCGCGAGAGGGTGGGGGCGCCGACGCGGGCCGCACCCGAGGGAGGGGTCGCGGGGTGTTGCCCAGAGGGGGGCCTCCAAGTTCCACCGGGTGGTTTCGAGTAGGGGATCGACTGCAGAATTGACTTACCCCAGAGTTTGTTTTCTCGTCGAAGCCACGAGAAAATACCCAGTAGACCTACGGAGCATTCTCCGCATGTTTCGTGGATTCGACGGGAAGTCCATTCTGGGGTATAAGCCGGTTCTGTAGTCGATCCTCTACTCGAGATGGTTGGGAGCCGGGTCAGGCGTGCGACGGCTGCGGTGCGGCAAGCCTCTTGGGGGGGGAGGGGGCTGGGGGGGCCACGTGTGGCGGAGGCCCCCCGTGCAGAGCGGCCGGTGACCTGGCCGAGAGCCTTCCCGCCGTGCCGAGGCCGGGGAGCTCGCGGCACAGGCGGCGGGGCGCCGCAGCTCCCGAGCCGCGTGCGCCGGGAGGGTGGCGCGCGGGCGGGGCGGGGGCTCGTGCGGAGGGCGGGGCCGCACACCCGTGGGCCGATTCGGGGGTCGGCTGTAGGATCGATGTACCCCCAAAGTGATTTGCTCGTCGGATCTACAGAGGAAAGACGTGGAATGATGTTCGTAGATCCACGGGCGTTCTGCGCACTTCTGCTGACGGAGGGTTCGGTCAACATGTCAACATCGGGGTGAGAGAGTTCTGCAGTCGACTCCCTGCTCGAAGGGGGGGGCAGCGGAGGACGCGGCGTCCTGCGCGGTGCCCCCGAGCGCTCATCTCGGAGGCCGAGGTTGGAGGCGGGCGGACTCGAGAGGCGAGCCGCCTCCGGGGGCCCCCACCCTCTGACAGCGGAGCTCTTCTCGGCACCGGCCTGCGTGGGACGGGGGCGGTGTCCGAGGAGCTCGTGAGCTGCGCGGAGGTGCAAAGGGTCGGGGTCACCATGGTGCCGCACGGGAGAGGTGGGCCGGGTTGGTGGCACCAATGGCGCCACGTCGGCATCGGCCTTCACGGGACGGGGTCGGTGTCCAAAGAGCTCGTGAAAAAAAGAAAAAAAAAAAAAAAAAAAAAAAAATAAAAAAAAAGAAGAAAAAAAAAATAAAAAAAAAAAAAGAAAAAAAATAAAAAAGAAAAAAAAAAAAAAAAAAAAAAAAAAAAAAAAAGAAAAGAAAAAAAAAAAAAAAAAAAAAAAAGAAAAAAAAAGAAAAAAAAAAAAAAAAAAAAAAAAAGAAAAAAAAAAAAAGAAAAAAATAAAGAAAATATAAAAAAAAAAACAAAAAAACAAAAGCTGCGCGGAGGTGCAAGGGTCGGGGTCACCACGGGTGCTGCCCAGGAGGGGTGGGCCGGGTTGGTGGCACCAATCGCGCCACAGCTCGACAGATGCTGGTCCGGCACAGGGTACGCAAGCAGGGGCGGTGGCCACAAATCAGCCCCCGACTTCTGCGCGCGGCCGATCTGAGCATATCATGACAGCCTCGCTGCACAAATATGCATGCAAGCTTATGCGACTGGCCAACGGGCGATCGCTCTTGCGACTCGTGCTATCATAATGTGTCTCCTCATCCTTCACTCCCTCATCGCTATCACCAGGCATCATGATCAGCCACTATCAACAACCACCAACAATCATCAATCAACAAATCAACCAAGCAACACAGAAACTTTCGCCATCATCCAGCATCACAGTCACCATCAACCACCACCGTCATCACGATTATCATCATCAGCAGCATCAGCATCACATCATCATCATCATCATCATCATCATCATCATCATCAGCAGCAGCAGCAGTAGCAGCAGCATGATCAGCAGCAGCAGCATCACAGCATCAGCTCACCATAATCAAACATCAAATCATCATCACAACCATCAGCGGCAACATCTTCCACCTCATCATCATCATCAGCAGCATCATCATCAGCAGCAGCAGCATCAGCATCATCATCAGCAGCATCATCAGCATCATCATTAGCATCATCGTCACCATTAGTATCATCAGCATGGTCACCACCATCGTCACCAGAGTCATCGTTAGCATAGTCATCATCATCATCATCATCATCATCAGCAGCAGCAGCACGGTCGCCGTCGTGATCGTCATCAGCAGCAGCAGCAGCAGCCGCAACATCATCACCAACAGCATCAGCATCAGCATAATCAGCAGCGACAGTATCAGAGAAATCACCATCAGCATCACAATCATGGCCATATTCATACTCATCATCTTCATCATACTCATAAGCCTTAATCGTCTTCATCACCATGTTCCTATTCATAGGCATCTTCATCTGCATCTTCATCTTGTTTGGCTTCTTCATCTTCTTTCCTCAGCCTGACCGCGGCGCGTTCCTGCAGGCTGTCCCTGATGCCATCTGGCAGCCCGC